AGCCTTCGCCGGAGGGAGGGGGCGGGCGGGGGCGGGGGGCGCATTTGTCTCTAATAAGGAGAGACAAAGACATCCCAGCGGCCGCTGCTGTTCCCGCAGCTCCGCTCCGCCCGGGGCGGGGCGGGGGCGTTGTTCCTGGGCCCTGTCACAGCCTGTCCACTCCCCGCAGGTGCTGCCCTCCGTCACCATGACCGAGAGTACGCTGACCACCGACGAGGTCCGGGTGCCCCTGGGCGCTTCGCCCCCGGGCCCTACGGCGGCGGCGGGGGCTTCCCCGGCAAGCCCTGGGGTGCTGGGGTGTGAAGAGGAGCGGGGATCCGGGCCCGGCGTGTCGCCCCCCGAGAGCCCAGAGGCCGAGCGTGGCGCGGACCTGGGCGCCGACGAGGAACAACCCGTCCCGTACCCGGCACTAGCGGCCACAGTCTTCTTCTGCCTCGGGCAGACCACGCGGCCGCGCAGCTGGTGCCTCCGACTGGTTTGTAATCCATATCCTTCCAGGACTGGCAGGGCGCTGGGGACTAGGGCGCGGGACTCCCCTGCGTAAGCCCTTGAGCCCGGCTTAGGGGATCCAGCGCGGGCTGGGCAGAGGCGTGAGGGCAGCGTTCTTCCCAGAGGCGGTGGAGGTGTCTTGTGGGGACGCCTCTCGGGACTTGGCAGTGAGATTCGGGTTCAGAGGCAGCGCTGGACTAGGGGAGTATGAGAAGCAGCCTCTAGGATGTTGCCGGCTTGGAAGGGAAAGAAGGGTGGTTAACTCCTGCGTTCTATGGGTGGAGGTCGGGACGGGAATCCCCCAGCCCTTCCTTGGGTTTTTGAACACTTGGGCCGGTGCGTCGACCCTCGGTGGGAACAGGGAGGCCAGAAGGGGTAGAGTAAGGGGAGGAAGTTTTCCACCCCGTCTGCGGGACCCTTGGGGCCTGTGTGCCTGTGCCGGGGCGGGGCTGGTCCCTGGTTCTTCTCCCTGAGTGAGGCGGTGACGTTGGTTGAGAACTCTCTTCCAGGCTGAACTCCATGCAGGGGCTGATTTAAGTCATGCGCAGCTGGGGGTAGGGGGCAGGGAGGCAGCCAGCACCGAATCAGACCCTCTTCTCCACAGTCACTTAGCCATAGAGGAAAGGATTGCTCCTTCTGATTCCTGGCCACAAGGGCACAGAGTTTCAGAGAAGGTTCCAGAACAGAGTTGGGTTAGCGCCAGGGACATTTCTGGAATGCAGAAAGAGACTGGGGCACCCCAGCAGGTGGCTTTTGGGGACTGCCCTGGCAGACTGTGAGAAACTGAGATCCATGTCTGGTACTGGTTGTAACCCCACCCCCACCCCAAACAGCCCCTCTGAACTGGTCACCAAAGTGGCCTGGGCTGTGGGTGCTGCTGTTTCCTTCCTGGGTAGAAGGCCAAGGGGGGTTGACATGGGCCCATAAACTCTCCCCAGCAGAGTCGGAGACAGGCAAAATGAGCAATGTGTGTATATGTTTCTCTACCTTGTGTGTTTAACTGTATAAATATTAAATACAAAAGAGGAATCTGTACCAAAAAAAGTAATAAAAGCCCGTGTTTCTCTTCACGCCAATCCAAACATTGGGTGAGTCAGATTTTTCTCTGCTTATAAAGGTGGTTGGTGGTCCCAGGGCTGTGGCCTGCTCTGAGCCAACTTGAGCTCCAGTGCCTGCCTCTTTTGTCCTCTGCAGCTTGCTGTGGTGTCTGGAGGTGGTGGGTATCTTCACAGCTGGCTCACCCTCTGTGCAGAAGTAGGGTGACCTTGTGGGGCCACTGTCAGTTGTCCCACCTGCAGGATCTAGACTGGTGGTGACTGTGTCACTTTGTTTTTTTGGAGAGAGAGAGTGGTGGGGGCCCACTGGGCGGTAACACTGCAGGGCCCTGGGAAGGAGACAGAAGCCATCCCTATGTTAATGCCCAAGTTAATTTCTGAGTCTGTGCACACTAAATAGGGAAAGAACCAAGTGGGCTTGGACTTGCTCTCCTGACAGTGTGGATCTGGCTGCACCATCCCTTGACAGCACAGGAGTCTGAGGCTGACCCTGGTTCTCTGGGCTGCCATGTCCCTGAGGACTTCTAACAAGGTTGTTTGTGTTGCTGTGTGCAGGGAAGCTAGGGATGGAGTGGCTCACATAAAGTCCTCAAGGGACAAAGGCTATGGATCTGGCAATGCCACCTGGCTTGAGCCTCATCCCTCTGCAACTTTGTGATCCACAGAGAAAGATCCCCTTGTAATCTTAAGAGACACTCAGGTATTGCTGACCCTCAAGGGCTGGAAGATGCAGAGTGCTCTCAGCTGGGGAAGAGTGTGCCAGCCTGTCCCTGCAGGTGGAACCACCAAGCAGGGAGAAGTGTCATCTGTGTCCCCCATCCCTGCCCCCACCCTCAGGAGCATCCTCGGCTTGGAGCTGCTGGCTATTCCCAGGAACCCTGTCACGCTGAATTTTCCATGCTGTGGGTACCTTAAAGCACAGTTTGATTCTTTCACAACTGGAAACCAGTGCTTCCAAGTATCCCTAAGCTAGGGAGACGTCCTATAAGGACCTGGTTTCCTAGGTCACTTGCTCCTGTCAACATCTGTGTCTGTCCAGTAGAAGGGATCATCAGAGTTGTGACCAACATGGAGATGGGTCTGACTCCCAGCAGATGCCAGGCCCTGGTTATAGGGGTGTGAACCTGGGCCTTAGGGAGATCCTAAAATAAGCCACATGCCTGGACAGGCAGGGGATCAGCTTACTGGGGAAGCCTATGTGGGCTGAGATGTTTGTGTTCTTCAAAGCCCTTCAAATTCCTGGGAGTTGGGAGATAGTGGCTTTGCATGAGGTGGGGGGTACCATGGGTGAGTGGCATGGCCAGGGTTTTTTGAGGGACTGTAGAGTACCCGTGGTTAGAGGGTGCTTTCTCAGGGTCTCGGTCCCCTCTGAAGGCAGACATTGTGTCAGCAGGACCCTTTCTTTCCCATAGAGAATAAACTCTAGAGGGAGGAAAGTCAGCTTTGCTCAGGTGAACCTGAGAAGCAGGTTACTCAGAGAAGCAGCTCCTGGCTCCCAGGCTGGCACTCCCAGTGGATGCCGGCCAGCCAAAGTTAGGCTTCTGTTGACTATTGAAACATAGAGAAGGACCTTCTCCCAGCCCTGGCCTTTCCTGGAACTCTTGGATGGATGGCTGAGGTACAGATACACACATCATCCTGGTTCTGCCTGGAGGGTGTCTCCCATCCATGTGGCAAAGGAGCTTCCAAGGACGGTCTTTGTCTTTATTGATTTAGTTTGCTCTTTAAAAATACAATCAGGCTGGAACTTTTGGGCGAGCGCTGTTTCTCCTACACAGGCTTATTTATAGAGGAAGGTGGGTGGGACCCGTGTGTTGTAGCCCGCTCTGTTGGGTTATGTTCTGCCCTGGCTCCCCCAGGCTTCTGACCCAGAACTGCCTGCAGTGCAGCTGCTGGCATGCCACCAAGAGGATGGGGCCTCCCAGGGTTGCTGAGCTCAGTAGTGGGCACCTGGCTGAGGAGGAGAGGTGGGCCTGTGGGCACTTAGGATCTAGGAGATGACCTGGGGTATTTAGGGGTGGGGGGGTCCTTAGGAGAATACCCTTAGGCCTTCACCTCAACCCTCAACAGGTACCAAAACCCCATGTCGCTAAGAGTGAAGGACATGCCAAGGTCACCTGTAGGTGAATGGCAGAGCTGGGTTGAGCCCAGCCCAGCTAGAAAGCTCATATATTTGCTGTATCCTTAGGTAGACAAGCCTAAGTCCTATGACATCTTTTAAAAATCGATGCTTTGAGATGTCCAAGGGCATGCTGCTCCACGGTGGCTGCCAGTACTGGCTCACTACGGGCGTATATGTCCTCAGTACATGTCCCAGTGAGAATTCACAGGGCAATGGTCTTGGAGGATTTGTTCTCTGGCCTTGCCCTGTCCTTGCCTATATCCTGTGTTCTGAGAACTGTCCCATCTCTGCAGTTTCAGTATGTCCAAGCTGGCTCTCGGGTAGGTACTTAACTTAGTTTCTGAGGTTGCAGGGCCTCTGGGGACTCCTGGACTTGAATTCTGGCCAGGGAGTGGCCTGGGGTGGCACTTTCTGCCTCTAGGACCTTGTAGTCACTTGGAGATTGTTTAAGGGTTCCTGGGTCCTAGGCAAGATGCCTCTTTCTCCCCAGTCCTGGTACCTTGTGGGGCCTTTCTCCTATTGTTACCATCTGTCTGTGTTCGCTTCCCTGAACTTTGGAGCCTCAAGTTGGCTCAGCAGGGTAGCTGCCACCTCTGCATGTCTGCCACCCTCACCTAAGTACAATTATGGGATGTGGAAACATGGGTGTACTGGCTTCCTGTGCCCCTGCATCCCTGGGGCCAGCCTCTCCAAAGGCCCTGGAGCCGAGCATATGATGTGTGCAAGTCATTGCTAGAAGAAGAGTTGCAGGATGCCTGTCCACTTACCTCTGAAGCCATTGGCCAGCATCTTGGCACCCCTAAGCCACTTGCCAAGCAGTGTTAATTCATGGTATGTATCTGGGTGCAGGATAGAGGTGCACCATGTCTTTGGGCCTCATTTAGGACAGGGGAGGCAGCATTCTTAATGAAAGCTATAGGCAGTAGAGACAGACACCCCCCACCACCCCGAATGCTGAGAACAGCCCCAGGTGGATATCTCCCATGGCAGCCTGCCCCCTCCCCCCATTGGATAGTCATTCATACTCACATCAGGGAGGTGACAGCCACATGTACCCGTGTGATGTCACCTTTCCCATCTCATCCACTACTTGAAATGGGCATGAGTCCAGCAAGACTGAGCATGCCCTGCAGAAGGACTGCAGGGTGCACATAGATATGAGTTCATATGAGGAAGAATGGGAGCTAGAGTCAAGAGAAGGTTCTGCCCCGGCAGGTACTATGCCTCTCAGACCTGCTTGTGTGACTCAGGGATGGCTATGCTACCTCACTGTGTTTGGGAAGGACTTAAGGGCCTGTTATGGCCATTGTACAAGGTCCAGGTAGACATAACAGTCCTGTACTTCTGAGGCATCACCTTCCTAGTCAAGGTATTGCCTACCCACATGCTGGTGGCTAGGTGCAGGTGGCTCCAACTTTGCTGCCAGTGGCTGGTGGTTCTCTCACCAGGCCTTACCCTTGCCTGTTTCTAATCACCCCCCAGTGTTAAATCAGTCCCAGAACCCCTTTCTGATAGTCTCAGCATCTCAAGTAGACATAAGAGCCTGGCCATCATCCACATGGGGCCATGGCAGGCCGCAGCCACCCTTGGTCTCCATGTGGGGTCCTGTTGTGGGATCCTGGGATGCCATCTATTGTAGGGAACATTGGAAAGAAGGGGATCCTGTCATCAGTAACCTTGACTACATCATTCAGTAATGGTCGGCTCAATAATAGAGCCTGCCCAGAATCCAGCTGTCTTTGTACTGTGGCAGGTGGGGCCCTTTAGAAAGGGGCATGGACTAGGCTAGAGGCTGCTGGAGTCAGGACCAGTGCCGGTGCCAGCCGGCCAAGACGGACAGTACTTGAAAGGGGGAGTGAGGATGAAAGAAAAACGAGACAGAGAAAAGATACTTGGGAGGACTGTCAGTAGAGACTGCAGCCCC